CTGCTCCGGCTCGTCCCAGCCTTGCATTTACTCTCGCTTCCAGCTATACTTTCCGTCCTCGAGGCGTACCACCAGCGTCTCCCATCAACCTCGGACATATCATCCCCTACTATCTCAGCGATCGCTCTAGCTAGTTTTCCTCCACTTTGGTTCTTTGGGTTTCTGTACTACACCGACGTACCCGGCATTGCCTTTGTCTTGTCCAGTTTTCTCGCACAGTCCAACGGCTCGAACTGGCTAGCTTGTTTGGTGAGTCCTCCTATCATAGTATCATTTTCAAAGTATGACTGAGGTCAAATCCATGCAGCTCGGGTTGTGGAGCCTATTTTTCAGACAAACCAATATTATCTGGATACTCTATATTTTCGCATTCCATAACGTATTCAAATTACGCTGGGCGAAACAAGCACCTAATAGGCTGCACGATCCCCCTGCTTTACACGCATCTTTCGGTAGGTAACCGCGTAACAAGTCGTCTCAGCTAACTGTTCCTCAGTGGATCTCGGGGCTTCCATTTGGTCTATTGTCCGGGCTATACCAAGTCTTTTGATCGATTTCCTACCATACGGGTTACTTTCTTTGGCGTTCGCAGGATTCGTTGTTTGGAACGGGGGTATCGTCTTGGGTGAGCATTGGTATAATACCTGGGCAAGAAACGAGAATTAACAGACCATAGGTGACAAATCGAACCATGTCCCGGCTCTCCATATCCCACAACTCTTCTATTTTTACGCGTTTAGCACAGCATTTGGATGGCCAGTTCTCCTATTCTCGGGGACAGGTAAGACAGCTGGACCCGTGGGCTTGATCAGAGAAGTTGTATCAAGGATGGTCGGGACACCACGGTACGTCTTACAAGCAAAAGAAAATCCGTTTCTCATAACAGTCCAGACGGATAGCGATGTCGGTATTCTGGACGGCGCTTATTGCCACTTGTGTTCACTTTTTCACGTAAGCTTCTCTTTGCATTTAAAGGCCATCAAACAGATATTTATTACTTCTTGGGTTTGCTACAGGATCCATCATCCATTTATATTGTCGGATAACCGCCACTACACCTTCTATGTCTGGAAGCGAATACTCTTTGCGCACCCTCTAATATCGTATGCGTTATCCCCAGTATACCTGGCTTGTTGGTGGATGTGGTGGATACGAGCAGGTGAGTTTGGTTGAAGCCCATTTTTGCAAGACGCCTGATATACTCCCATAGGATCGGCACAGTCACTCCTTCAAACCATCCTCTTGCCTTTGGCACTTATACCGACACTCCTTCCGTCGCCGCTTTTGGAGCCAAGATACTTTATCGTGCCTTATATCCTCCTCCGATTGCAGGTACAGCCGTATGATGAAGACGAAGCCGCAGCGCCTTCTACCTCCAAGACATCGACAGCTTCGCAATCCTCAAAACAAAAGCACAAACAGGGCGAGAAAAGTCTTATAGATTGGGCCATTTATCTGCCGTGGATCGAGCTGGCATGGTATTCACTCATCAACTATGCGACAATGTACGTCTTCCTTTACAAGGAGAGAGTAGTACAAATGCCCGCTGGGGAAGAGATGATTCGATTCATGTGGTAGTCTTATTGCATGTCCTCTTTAGTTTGAAACTGGATTATATTCTAGCATTGAACTCTATTCGCAACAAACCTATAAAACGTGATTAGCGTTCTGTAGCAAAGAAGTCAAAGTAATTTGGAGATCAGAGAACCGAACTCGACGTGCATGTCCAATAAGGACATTTTCAGACGGCAGATA